AGCCGTCTGCGGCCGAAATGCAGCTCTGGAGCTCAGGGGAAGGGGTGCCTTCCAGTAGCGCTTCATTCGCTTACAAGAAAAATACACGGTAGATCGTGGTCTCGGGAGAGTGGCATTATTGTGGAGTCCAGGCAAGCGGCCCTGACTCGCTTGATAAGTTCAGACCTACCAGCCTAGATAAGAACCACTCACTTTCACATATAGATGAAAAAAAAAATCTCTATATATAAAAAATAATTAGAAAAAAGCCTATGCCTTTGACACGGAATCCTTTGAGCTCGGTAGTAAAAGAATATGCATCTGGAACAAGCAGAACTGCAGCTCAAAGTGAGCCTGTTTCTGACGTCTTTTAGTAATGATTAAACAGGCAGAAAACACCCCCAATGTTTACTATTCAGACTTCTGTTTGAATCCTAGGGATTCTGACTATGAAGGGAATGGTGTGGAAAGATGAAAGTTCATTTTATAACTTATTTTTGAACAAGTCCTAAAAAATAAATGTTCTAATAAATATTTTGTAATGTTCTTTTCTCCTGTTTTCATCACATTTTCTGTTCCATTTATCTTCCCACTGCACACCTTGTCAGTTTTATCTTTTATGAATAGTAGGAAATTGGAAGGTGTCCTACTCATGCAAAATTTCTATGGTCGATGCAGTCTGTTTTCCTATGCCTGGCTCTGAACACTGCCAGGGATTTCTGAAATGGGGGGGGGGGGTAGAGAAAACATCTTAATAATGCAGCTTGTACCACTCAATAATCACAAAGGAAAGTTGCCTCTCTGATAGCCTTTTGGCAGCTGCGTTTGGGCCAACATCCAGTGAGGGACACGTTTTGGATAAGATGGAGAAGGAACAGGCAAACATTAGCAGTTGGTTGGCTTTATTTTGTTGGCTGCATAAAGCTTCCGTCATTGATGAGCATTTTGGGACCGTAGTTGCTGGAATTACAGAGGTGATTGTGATACAACAGCTGTACAGACAAGATGATACCACTTTCTACAGTGGCATCGCATGTCCTTTTTATTCAGTTTGTCAGGTCTTACAAATTTCTGGGAGAGAGCACTAGTAGGTTACAACTGCTTTCCACAACTGGGCTGTTACGTAAGCAGCCCTAAGTCACTGGCCCACTTAAGGCAGGTTTATACTTGCATCTGCACTACAAAACAGCTGTAAGGAACCACAGAATCTCATCCTCTCCCCCCATTATTTTTTCTTTTTCAGTAGCATTACTTCTAAACAGGTGCTTGACAAATAGTCACTGCGCAGTGTCTGTACACCACCTATTGAAAGCATAAGGCTGTTGAATTCCATAAGGTTTCAGTGATCACCAAGTAAAACACACCGAGTTTATGAAGGGTTAACTATTGGTTTGGCAGGGTCAGAAGTGGGCTGGAGTTTCCTGTAATCAAAGGGGCAGCAGCAGCAGCAGCAGTCAGGAGATTTTTTTTTTTTTTTTTTTTTTTTAAATAAAGATCCTATCATAATCTTTGTAAGGGAAAAAACAGTTGAATAAATACACCACTAATTCTGGGCTTGGGAATTGAAACATTTGCACTAAAAATACAGAATTTGTGGTAAGTTACATGTTTTGTTTAAACTCAAAAGTCAGGAAATCAGCTTAGGAGAGAGCTGAACTGCTGTGATGTAGGGGAAAAGACCTGTTTCCATTACCTCACTTTACTGAAAGCGTGAGGTAGGCAGTGTTATATCTGGTGTAATGTCTTCGACAATGTTGCGTGCACTTGGAATTTTCTTGCGCTTTATTTACTGAAGAACTGTGTCAAAACGAGATTGTTTAAAATCAGCTGTGAATGAGGCCTCATCTACACCACAGAGCCTCTGCCTCAGAGCTATGTCAGCAGGCTTGCCTGGTAGAAATTTCCAATGTAAACAAAATCAGCAGGTGCAGTGTACAATTTTACTATTTTGTTGTCACTCCTTTTGCCTCAGAACAGATGGACTTTCTGCATCCTTCTTATTAGTCTGCTTTTATGTAATGACAAATACAGCCGTTTACCCAAGTTAATTAAAATAACACTGCTAGCAACAGTTGGCGATAAATAAATTATCCGATGTTTTTATGGGTATGCTTTCCAATGCAGCTAGAGCTCAGAAGAGCTCTTAGAAGGTCCTTCTTGTCTTGTCATCTCGACGTGCTTTTTGCCAGTCTCCCAGCAGACAATATGTTAGTGTAGGCTCATGGATTGAGAGAAAATGTCTAGGAGATCCACAGTTGCAGCAGTTTTCAATTCATTGCTCCTCCTAACTGCTGTATAAATGGTACATAACAACCAGAGAATCCAAATCTGGCTCTTGAAATACGTTGTTAACAGCCCTTGAGATGGACTTACAGCATACGTGAAGGTTTGTGAAAGTGGCTAACAGTAGAAGTGGAAAGCAGGCTTGAATTGTTTCTTTTGTGCCAAGAATTTCTGGAAGTGGAGGCCCAGTAAGTAAGATAAGACTTTTCTTTCTCTGAGCAGTTTCCGTGAGCATCAGTCTTTACATTAGAGTTCTTTCCATTCTTCAGTAAGACCACCATGTAGATCAACACATATATAAGAATAAACGAATACTCAAATACCAGACTGCTGCCTGCCTATAGGCTTATTAGTGGGGAAGGGCACAAGCTGACTTCTCCTCCTTGCATTTCCAAGCAACTTGCTGGTTGCTTTCCTTGATAAAGGGGTGCTTCAAAACTTTGGAGATATGCTGTAGTATGTCCACCTTATGCTCAGGAAATCTTACCTGTTGCCTTACCGGAAATATTAGTCTTACCAGAATGAAAGCAAATAGATCAGTTTGGAGTTATAAGCTTATCCCATATCAGGGACATGTAGGATGCTGTAACAGAAAGGTTTCTTCAGGTCATTATCCAATCTTACAGCACTTCAGAGTGCTTCAGTTGTGTTCCCTGTCACCTGATAGAGACCTTTAAGTAACGTGTTTAGGATGGTATGGTTTTAGTTACATCTGTCACCTGAAAGCTATGCTCGCTTTAGGTTCTGGGCCTCATTAGCAGCTGCTCTTTCTCACAAGCGGCCTAAGTTATTTCTTTCCTGTTAGTGTACAGACAGAGGGAGGCTGTTCTCTGGTGCTTGGCTGCTGGCACGTGCTCTGGGTTTGAGGTGTTACGTGCTCATGAACAGTACTAAAATGACTATGTCTGCTTGAATTAATCTTCTTTGTAGACTAGTGATGAATATGTGTGTACACCATATCTGGTTTTGCGCTGCAAGTGTCGTGACCCTCACACAGTTGTGCTGTCTGAGAGGTTATGTTGTACAAAGGGCAATAAAAGAAGGGCAGGTATAGAAGTGTGGTGCTCTCTAGTTAACATATGTCAGCCATGCTCTTTAACCCCAGCAGCTGGACTTTTTCCAATTATGCCCATCCGTTTTTCTCTTAATCGCAAGGTATGTCCAAAAATTAAACTAACGAGGCACTTTAATTTAGTTGCTCTTCCTGTAGTATCGTGTGCTCTACAAAGAACATCGAAGCAGACATCTTTCATTTTTAATATAGTTTTGTCAACTTATTTGGTCACTGTTTGTGTAAAAGTCAATAAAATTACAATATCAAGATATGTGAAAATTAAATAATGACACATAACATGATGGATCTGAAATATAAAAGTTAGCTAGGATTGTATTTTATCTTGGTAAAATGTGAGTGTGTTTGTAGGTTGTCTTCCTTGATATTTTTCAGGATATCTTTCTCACCTTTTACTTTGTCTTGTTCTTTACAATTCTGAAAAATAAAGTAACATTTATGTTAACGTATAACAGGTAGCCTGATTTTATAAGACACATTTTTGGTCTCACATAAATTAAATAAGATCAAAATATTCACTCCTAAATCACTGAAACAGGTAATATAAAAGGCTTCATGGGTTTTTTTCCACTTGTTGGTCATATATCTCAATTCATAATATTCGTAGCTAAAAAAAGAATCTTGTCCTGAATATGACATTTAAATTATACTTCAGGCACAGCACTGCACAAACTTTTTTGGTGAACTGGGAATTTTTTTTTGTCAGAAACAGCTACCCCACATACAGAAAACAGAATTCTAGAATTTCTTGCCCACATTTTCCACAATGATAGCAAACAGCAACTCCTGACTAAGCATTTTTGTGTCATATTCTCATATTTGTCCAGTCCTTACAGTGGTTTTCAGCTGTTAAAAAATAAAAAAATAACAACAGAGATCCTTTGTTTCTACAAAGTTTTATCCCAGCAGTATGCCTCTCAGTTCCTGGTGAGGAAACGTCGAGCAAATTCTTTTATGGAAGAAAGTAAGAAGGGAAACCTAGAAAGAGAGTGCATTGAAGAATTATGCAATAAGGAAGAAGCCAGGGAAATCTTTGAAAATAATCCTGAAACTGTAAGTATCTGATGAATATCTATGAGGTAGATAGTAGTTCTTTGCAGAGGGAATGCTATAGAAGTACATACAATTCACACTGCAAAGATAAAAGAACTCCACCACGCAGACCAAGAACTGGTTTGAAATTCTTTTGTGTATAGAGGCTGCACAATGAATAATGAAGACTTTCTAAGCAAAGAGAATAGTTGAATAGATATTATTTTAATTTCCAGTACAGATCACCAGTTTTAGACCACAGTTGTCTGCAAGCATTCCATATGGGGAAACTGTTAGCTTCAATTAAAATTTTACACAGAGGATGCATGGCAGTGCAGCCCTTTTAATAATGGGATTGGACATATTACTGTGAGCTTTTTTTCTAGAAGGGAGAACTCTGTTCCTCAGTTCATTCCCACTGCACATTATTTAGTATTGGGTATATTTTATTCTGCTTTGTACTATAAAAGGTTTATTACAAAACACATGTGGTTAAAATTAATTCTTGTTTTGCAAACTATGTTAGTTCCATGTTCAGTCTTTGATAACATTGCATGTATGTGGATATACTGATTGTTAAGTTTAAATAGTTTCAGTAGTCAATATCAGTTGGTTTTAACATTTTCTGTTTTAGTAACACTTTTCACTTTATTTGGAATGAATTACATGTGAGATGTTCAACCTATTCCAGGGGGTTTTGTATATTTTACGGTGAGAAAGCGAAATAAAGGAGGCTGCTCTGCATCCAATAACAAGGGCAAGATCCTCCTATTTAAAGAGACAATTTACAAAGTCATTTTGGCACCAAATTAATTTTCATTGCCTTCACTTTGAAAGTGTCCAGTTCTGTGCAGTATCTTAATCTCTCCACTGAGTCTTGTGTTTGTTAAATAATCTGCTCTTAGCCTAAACAACAGTGATATAGAAAACTTCATCTATATTCTACAAGTCAAAGCAACTTTTTCTTTTTTGCTTCTTTTGTAGTTATAGTACCAATATATTTTAGAATGTATTCAATGATACATTTTGCTGTAATTCTATCTACCTTAAATTTTTCTTACTCTATTTTTCCTTTCTTTCTGCAGGAGTACTTTTATCCCAAATATTTAAGTAAGTACAAGAAACGTGAACAACTCTGGTACATCATTCACTGGTTGTCTTATTTGGATAATACTAGTTTAGTTATGCTGCCTATAGTGCTTCAGTGGTTTCCATGCTGGTTATGATGCACAATAGCTCCTAGGTAGTTCTGTGTGCTTAGATCCGAGCAGAGGCACTCAGAAGGTTGGTCTGTGATCAGCTGTCCTTAATATGCCCAGACAAGTTTCCTAATTCAAGCTGTGAGAACAGTCTCTTTGAAGATGGCATGCATAAGCATTTGTAATTTCAGTATAAATGAGTGTTTGTATCATAAGCAGATTGTGTGGGTTTGTATTTGCAGACTGCCTTGCCTCCCATCGAGCAGGGATTTTCAGGGTTACTGCAGTTACTCCAGATTCTCCAGCTGACCTGAGGGCTTGTGTCAAAGGTAAGTGCTGCTGTTAGATGCTCAGATCTAAGAACGCATACATAAGTGGCTGGAAAGCAGTTCACAGAGGTGGAAAAAGAGACAAATCTCCATTTAACTCAGGCAAACTCAATAATCTAAAACAAGAGATTGACAAAAAAATATTAGGCGAGATGGAGCATTTTCAGAGCAAGCGGTGTGACTGTTTTTAGCTTTATAAAGCATGCTGGAAAAGAAACATAATTAACTGTAAAATGGAAGTCAGAATTTTTCCGGAAACATAGAAGTGTCCCTCACCAACCCACCAATGTTCCCTAGCATGTCCTCTGTACTCTGCCTTGTGTTTAAGTTATGCCTGACGCTGCATCTAGCAAGTCCTATTCTGTCAGTCAAGGGAGGAGATCATCTGGTTGATTCTCCTTTGTACCTCTCTTTGGCCCATAGTTACAGAGTAGCCCTTCATGAAGTGGGTAAGGTTACCGGCTGAAAACTTCAAATATTAGCTGGAAGACATTGACTCCAGACAGAAGAAGGTCACAAAGCATGAAACTTGTGATGTTGCTTAAATATTTTAATTTTTATGCCTGTAAATTCATAAGTCCAGTGTGAATTGTTTTTTCTAGTAAATTCACAGGAAGCAATCTTTACCATATTCCCTACTTGTCAGAGCTGAAACATCTCTCTAAACCTTTTAAACCTTTGCAGCCCTGTTACATCAAAGAAGCTTTCAGTTTATTTGAATAGAGATACTTATCCTTAACCATCTGACACTGTTTTTGTCATTGAAAGCAATGGAAGGCAAAAAAAGTCCTTATTAATTACACTGCACATGGTCATGGATGAACCTATTTTCCAGATCACTTGGCCAATGTGACTGCTGTCACAAACTATTTTGTACTCCCATTCATATCACTTTCTCACTCTCATTAGAGGTCCTGGGAGGAAAGAATTTAGCAGAGTTGGGTGAATGTGCACTGTTTCTGTACTACCCAGTGAAATCAACTCGTTTACTTGATAGTCATTGTATTTCTCCATTTGGGTTCACATTATAAAATCAAATTAAATAAACTGTTACTATTGGTTAGTTACCAGGATAAAAGGGAAGTAAAGTGAGTATGCGTAAAATTTTCAAGTGTTTCTAAGGCTTAAATGTTCAGTGAAATTTACGCACATTTCTGGAAGAAAACTACTGCTGAGGAAGTGGAATTGAAAATTCCCATTAAAACTGTGTAACATTTTTTTAAAATGTGTTTTCACTGAGACAAAGATTTTATGAAACTGATATCAACAATTTATTTTTAATTTTAAAAGTTTTGTCTTTCTGAACTTGCAAGCCAAAATGTTTTGATATTGTCAAAATGAAAAATCCAATTTTCTTAATGAGAAATAATTAAATAGTTATGAGTTATAATAATGGAGTAAGTATTTTTAATCTCAAGCGGAAAAAAAAAATCAAGGAATAAAAATAAGAACGCAAACCGAATTGAAAAATAATTTCATTGCTTTCAGGTTTTCCAAATGACTTATTTCAGAACACAAATTAATGCACATTGTAAAGACACAAAAATTTGTGAATGTATTGACTTCTTAATCCCCATCGAGGAAGGAAAACAAGAATTTTCACAGGAACAGAAGACCCTTTTTCATACTTTTCTAACCCAAGCAGGTATCTAAGCTGCATCTTTAAGTCCCTAAAAATTTGTATGCCATAAATCTGCATACTTAATTTCTTTTGAAAATAATCACTTAAAAATCCCTGCATTTACATCTGTGCAGCTCACCATGACACATCTCATGGATACCAAAGCCTCTGACAACAGACGATACAGGTACTACAGTACATATCGTGCCACCTACCGTTTCTATTGCAGGCTGAGTATATCTTACAACGTTTGGTCGTTGTCACAATTGTTTATCAAAAAGCATTGCTGGGTGGTAGGTCAGAAGGCACCCTAAACTGGGAAAAGAGGGACACTAGGCCTACTTTTGGAACAAATGGCTGCTATATTACAGTTCCTGCGGTGGCATCTTAATCATTCATTTGTGGACATAACCTCTTTGTCCATCCAATCCTATCCGTCCTATCTTGTCTTCTTCCTCTAGTGTATTTCACCCGTTCTCTTTTTTTCATTCATTGATTTCCTCAATTTTCTTGCCCTTTATAGCCCTAATTCACCTCATTCCATTTATTCATATTTCACACTGCCAACCTAATCCATCTTCTCTCAGTTCAGGCTCTCACAAGCCATCACTGCCTTTTTCTCAGAAACATTTACAGTCAAGTTTGTTCCCCAGTTGCACACTCTGAGGGTGCCTTCCACATCTATCATTTACAAAATGCTTTACTTATACCAAGTTTAGTTTGCACACTTGTTCCTGGACTTACAAAAGCAGTAAATAGTCAAAAAAGAGAAAAAAAAACCCCAAACATAGAGGTGCTCTATAATTTTATAGCTTGGTTAGCCTCTGGGCTTTTGGATTTACTTGCAGCAGAATTTAATAGAAGTAAATTTAATTGACAAATATACTAACACAAATGTTGTTATGTTTTCTTAGTCACAGAACTGCTAAACTTATAATTCTGTGGGGCTCAGTTTTTTTAGTTCTTTTGAGTGAAGTAAGAAACATTTAAGAAATCCAGTCAGGCCTTATATGCAGAATTGTAGCAAGTTTCGGTCTTCTGGAACATTCACCTTTCATTCCACTTTTTTGAATCTGAACATTGCTAAATCCTTTCTTCATTTCATTCTGCTATCTAACTGGTTTTTAGGACACTGCTTTTTTAAAGCATGCCTCAGAATGACATTACAGAGCTTTACAGAACATAACTTTAAAGTGGAAGCAATGTATTTGTAATGTTTGGAGGCCTGCAGAAAAATAATCCAAAGAGCTACCAGCATACTTAGGAGACACAAATAGGATGATGCCTTATGTGGTACGCTGATGTAAAATTGTGAAAATGTTGAGAAAAGTTAGAAGAACTTTATGTATTTTGGTTAGAGAAAAAAGGCAGTGTATTCTGTGTTTTCTGTCCCAATCTATGTATTTTGAGCCTTGCTTTCTGAGAATTTGCCAGCATGTATAGAGTCTTCAGTCACTCTTTACAATGCATATTTGTTTGTCATTGAAGTTAATATTTGTAAAAGGTGACAGTATTAGACACTGATATATCCAGTCTACCCACAACACCTGAACAGACAAGGCAACCTGAGGTGTTAGTTTCTCTGTAAATGTGACCCTCCTTGACCAGAGAAACTGATCTCCATAATCTTGAATTCTTGATATTTTTGAAACTTTTGTATTTCTAGTGAAATTTGTGGTAATATGATGGGGCATAGCACTGTTCTTTAAAAAGTGAAATACGTCCTTAAAATGTAATGAAAATAGTATCAAGTCTGTGTTTGGTCACGTCCTGCAGGGATTAACATGGCTTAGTGAGTCATTTGTTTTCTGGTTGTTTTCTGTCTGACAAAGAAAAAGTTCTGGTGGCTTTGTATTTCTCAGTTACTTGCAAATTCTTGCTGACAGAATTAGTAGCAAGATGGTTGTATGGGTACTTGGTGTTATGCATCAAGCCCTTTCCTATTTTGTGAAAGGCACCTGTGGGAAGAGGAGAAGAAAGACTAAACTGATCCTTGAGGAAAAATAACCCCAAATAACAAGTGTTTTTCCAATGTTTTCCATCCCACAGAAATTTCAAACCAGTGTAGCCCTCTGCCATGCCATAAAGATGGATATAAGGATTGCATAGACGGACAAGCCAAATATACATGTGTCTGTAAACCAGGATGGCAAGGAGAGAAATGTGAAGAAGGTACAGTCTCTAATCTCACTATGATCATAGTTCTCAGGAACACAATTACAGTTCTACTATTATTGAATAGTATCAGACCTTTAAGTATACCTACTCCCACACAGTTGGTCAAGGAGTGCCTTCCCCTCAGTAGAGATTTTTATTTTGTTTTCTTTCTAGACATAAATGAATGTGAAGACTTAAATGGAGGTTGTAGCCAACGCTGTTCTAATTTAGCTGGAAGCTACCGTTGTTTATGTGAAGATGGCTACTTCATGCATTCAAATAAACGGGATTGTGGAGGTAAGAAGTGAGATTTAAGGAGAGCATCATTACAGGACAGTACATTTCCTGTTTACTAGAAAGAGGATAGAATTTAGCCCAGTAGTTCCATAAATGCTCTTAAGTCAGCAGAAGCTTGCATTGCCTCTGAAAGGTGCAGTCCTGCTTCAACTCGGCTACTCATTCCACCTGCAGCGTTACGCCACTGCAAGCATTTGGACAACCATATAGTGAACCAGATGAAGTAACTGAAGTGGATTTAAACCAATTCAGAAAAAGAAAAAAAATAAAAAGAAGAATTAAAAAGAGAAAGGCTACAGATTAGATTCTGCTTCATTACTAGAGCTCCATAAAACTTGTTTGGGTCACTAACCAGTTTCACATACCCTTTAACCGTACTGAAACAAGAATCTAGAGTGGTGTGACCAGCTGATATTGTTACCATGGAAATCCTGTCTGATAAACGCTGGTTTAGGCTGAATCACTCCTAATTAGTGATGCTGCTCTTTGGAGAGTTTGAAGTTCATTGGAGAAGAAACTATTAATGAATCTGAAAATGCTCTTAATGGAGAGAAAGGTTTGTCTTTTATTCACCCAGCATAATTGTTTTCTGTACGTGCTTGTGTCTCTTATTACTGGCCATGACCTTCATTCCGTTCCAGATAAAGACTATGTATTGACATAATTAGCAATTCTTACTGCATAGTTAGAAAAAAAAATACAACTTAATTCCTTTTTAATGTCATTTTATTGACGAACTATGACAACAGTTTTGGATAATGTCTAATAATTTAAGAGGCCAGACTTGAGGGCCATCTCCCGCTGTCACTTCGTTTAGTCTATATATTTTTGTGAACAGATAATTTCCAGAGAAATTCCAGAAGAACAGAAGATTGCTGTTTGTCAAAAAGGGCAAGCAGATAGATTGGTTAGAATCTCTAATTCTTGGAAAGATACTGTAGAAGTTGGTTAAAAAAAAAAAAAAAGATAGAAATACACTAACGTACCTTAGTACCTGGAGTACTAATTTGATGATTTCATAAACTGGATTTGAGTGTTTCATTACATCCAGCTACAAAATTACACCTAGGAATTTGGAGTACACACAGTAACTGTAGAAAAGTAGGCTGAATTCGGGACAGCTTTGACTTAAAAATGCTTTCGGAGTCCTAGCAAGCCAGTGGCAGAATCTGTTCTTCCTGTGCAGCACCATTTCCGCAGCTACTACAAAACCACAGAGAAAACTAGAATGATCCCTGCACATGCAAGTGGGAACTGAAGTACTACCAGGGCTCTGATATTTTTCTGTCTACAAGGCGTTTAGTAAGATTGATACTATAATGCTGCATCTAGTTGTGACATTTGCATTTTGAAAATGACATTGAAAAATTGGAAACAACACAGAAGACAGGCACTAAAATGGTTTGAGGGATGGAGAGACAGTGAGGGACTTGAACACCTGTCAGCATAGCCAATTAAAAGACAATTGTGACATGAATTGATTATAGCATGTAAGAAACTCTGATATGATTATCTCTTGTCTTTCTTGATATCTTTTTCTAGGATAGGATTGTATTATTCAGTCTGGTTTAGTTTATAGGAAATCTGCAGACTGTTTTTCTCTCTCTGCCTTCCTGGACATGCATCCCTTTTCCTGTTACCCACAGAACACATGAGAGAATGAGTAAGGTAGGCAGGCAGAGAGTTTGTTTTTCACTGAGGGCGTGCAGAAGTTCCTTTTAGAGACCTCTGGAAATCTTTATGGCTGTAGCTATAGTCTGCTATGAAAGCATGGTAGACCTAGCAAGAAAGAGCCAGTTTGCCAGCCTCAGTCCATTTGCACAGTTTTGGACTGGGTTAGGAAAAAACAGTATATGAGAGAGTGACTTGTTTTAAAGAACTTGTTTGTGTTTCTAGATATAAATGAATGTGTGTTACATCCAAACATCTGTGGGACAGCTGTCTGTAAAAATACTCTGGGGAAATATGAATGTGAATGTGCAAAAGGCTACACATATAATTCAACTTCCAAGAACTGTGAAGGTAAGGTCTTTTCCCCCCCCGCCCCCCCTTTTCTCTTTCTTTTATCTTCCTATTTTTTTTTAATTTGGATCCACTACTATACCAAACTCCAGCATCTCATCTAGCAGTGTATTTATTAATCTTCATATTGTTTATTACAGTGTGACTCAATATTTTGTTCTTTCAGAGGTTCAGTCAGACAATATTACATGTAGTGTACACAATCGCAATGACTTACTCCCAGACGTTGGAGGGTTTTGTGGCTCCCATGTTCTGGTGTATGCCAGATAACTTTCTCAGTTCATGGGAGCTCTCCTGTCCCACTGTAGGGAGGACTTTCTATGCAAGCTCTCAAACCATCTAGCATGTTTCTTTCAGATAACTTGGAGCAGCGCGTTGAGGATCTATCTGGACATTACTGGAGTGTCTTGTACGTTGTTTTTAAGCATCATTACTGCTAGGTATAAGGATGGAGTATTTGATGTCAATCAGTCTAATATATGTCCCTGACTCAATACAAGGTATAGCAAACACAATTAAAAGTAGTTATTTGGCAACTCCAAACTGTGCAAGACAGGAAGATACGTAAAGAGATAAGTTGCCAGAAATTAAAACTGTGCTTAATCAAGTTGTCTCAAAAACCTAAAAAGGTTGTCTTTAACCATCTGATAAGCTGTTTAGGTGCTTAGTAACCCTCATGGCCAGGGGCACAGTCTCTGCCCTTTATATGTCCTTAAATCTCAGATATTAGAAAGCACTTTTCGCTGGGGTCCTTGAATTCCATTTAAAATAACATTCATCTAATCCTTCCTTGGGGAATTCAGTTACTCTAGAAAATAACAGCATTAGAATGAACTGATTTCCATTCTAGGCTGGAAATGACAGCCTGGCAGTTGTATAAAAGATTTATTATAAAGATGCCACTTTTAATGTAAAAATGTTCTTAAATATCCAGAAAGGGAGATATGAAAAAAGGAGCTGCGCCAAAAGAATCTTTCCTCAGGAATATTCTTTTCTGAAATTAAAATCTGGAATAATGAATTTCAAAACGAAGTTCTGTTACAATTACAGCAAACCTGAAAAGCACTGATAGCTAGCAGTAAAGCAGCAAGAAGCCATTTATGCACAGACCAACATAAAATAACTTTTTCATGTATTGAAAGTATTTGCATAATTGTCCTAGAATGTATTTTATTTCTTTCTAGTTGTTGAAATTTCTATTTAATACACACACCTGAAATTAAATTTCAGTTGTAGAAAGGTTTATAAACTCTTAGAGTTTTACTATGAAGAGGATTTTTCTGCATTGTCAGTTTAAGAAAAATGCATCACTGACTCATTTTAATTTTAAATGCTGCCTTTATGTTGTTGCTCAAAAGGGCACAAAAGTAGCTTCTTGCTGGCTATGAATCTTTTGCTCCATGGCTTTTCATGCAGCTTTCTTGAGACTAAGCTTTGCACAGTGATAATGATTACATGTTCAGATGTCTGCTCTTTGTCCAGTTACTATGAGATTAAAATGTTACTGACAATTTTATGTCCCTGCTGAAATGGGAAAAACTTTACACTAATTAATCTAATTCTTGCTCCTCTTAGTACTTTCTGTAGATGCATGTGTTGCATCAAATTGAATTTAAGTGTTGTTTTTCTTATGAAACATGGATTCCACAAGGTTGCAAGATGAGGACATTAAAACGAGCAAAGTCTTACCTCCTAGAAGGAGGATTATGCTGCTAAGCTTCCTGACCTTGTTGTAACCATATTAAATGAGACACCAAATCCTGTCTAAGGACAGGATTGTGCAGGCTGACAGGAATGTAGCCTTACAGAAATACTAAATGACATTAGCTTTTCATTGTCTTATTGCATGTAGGTGACCAAATTCAATTATGCTATTAGAAAAATCAAATTTAGATACATTTAGGCACAACTATCTCTATGATGACAGATACAATTAGAGTGGAATAGAAGAGGGTTTGGGGTTTTTTTCCCTCACCCATTCCTAGGAGAATGTTGCTACAGTTCTTCATCCCTGCCTTTTAGGAGACACCATCAGTGGAAGCTATCTGTACAGTCCAGTCTTTGTTTCATAGAAACTGTACAGTTTTAGAAACAGAATTTGATTATCCTCTTCTCACCACCTTTGCAATTTCAATCACCTTGCCAAAAACGGTGTAGTGGAATGAGTAAGTATGCTTATTGTGCTGGAGGGGTCTGTCTTGCAGTCTGTATCAAGGAGACAAAACAAGCTGAACCCATATTTTAAAGAATGACCTAAGTTTTGGCATGTCTTTCCCTGTATTATTCTTCCTTCTCTGAAGGGGGAACTTCTCTTAAACAAGTGACCAAACCAGTTAATCAAACAGCACCGAGTATGTCTGTATTTCAGGTATTAGTCCCTCCCCTAGCACATAGTCTGAAAATTTGCAGCAAGGATTCAGGGTTTCCCCTTACCCCATGAATTGTTTAACACACACAAAACCCTGCCTACCCAATTCCATGCTCTGGGAAAATCACCATATTTCCCTAGGATTATGTAGTGTGGCATACCACATCCTAGAAGGGAGCAGCTCCTTTGTAGCTGATTTTATCATAGCTTAGCAACTTATCCAAAGCAAGCTATTTTAGCCTTCCAGTAAAAACAGCTATGTAAACCCAGAATGCTGCTCAGCTTCGTGGGTTTGTGCAAATAGCTTCTGCTGACTCTTTTATGATGTGGGACTGACATTTGGACGGATCTGTGGGAAGCCTTGAAACAGCTCAAACAAACATGCAAAGATGCTGACTACAACTTGGAAGAAAAAAAAAAGCAGGACAGTTACAGCATAAGTGATTAAAACAAACCTCAAAAAAAAAAAATAATAGGTGCCTTCCAGCCTGTGCATGTCAGCATTTCTGTAGCAGGACAGTTATCTTCGCAAGGGAAGATCCTGCCATTTGGACTGACCAGGGCTTCCAGAACATCTGCTGAGGAAGGAGACTTCATACCTATCCAAGAATCTTGCCTGTCCCTCTACTGCTATAGTACACTGTGGAGGGAGACATTACCCTTGAGCAGTAGGTTCATTTAGGGTAATGGAAATTTACACACACACAGACTGGTGCACGTCTCCAAGTAATTGGTTTAATGATAGATATTCATCTGTCAAATTGTGTGATAAGCTTTCATAATAACTTCATAAGTCTTTGTTTGTTTACAGGCCCTGGGCCTGAGGAACATGCTCAAAATTAATTGCTGCTTTCAGAGAGTTCAGCACTGAGATTTACTCTAGTGCTACTGGTTAAGCAGTGCTTGTAGTTTTACTTTTTTACTGCTGGGTGTTCAAGTACTGGAAGGGGTACAGGATCTTTCACAGAGACAATGCCTCCTAAGTGTCTATACAGAGTCATGCTTCTCTGGGAAGGGTGTGGGAAGAGAGGTGCTTCTGAGAGTCTCCCTACTACAATTCCACTTGGGAGGTCTTAAATTTTTTATTTCCTTTTATATCTCCACAGTGAAGCAGGCTGTATGGTTTGGATTTTGTTTTGGTGGGGTTTTTTTTGGTTTTGTTTTTCCTTCTGTCTGTGTGCTTAGGCCTAGGTGGATTTCTTGGCCTTTTCAGATCCCAAAGTGATCATAACTAGAAAGAATTTTTTTTTTCCCCCCCAAAACAGGCAGGATAGGAAAGGACACAGAAAGTGTTCCCTTCGCCCATTACGCAGTAGACAAGGTTTTGGATTTTGTCATTGCCTCACTTGCGTGTTAGCTAGGATGCAAAAACAACAGTGACAAAAGCAGCTTCACGTAGTAACACATCTTGTAGTCCTAGTTTTAAATAGACATCAGATTGTCAGTCACCAGAAATTACTAGGAAGTGACTTTCACAGCAGAACCCATTTCACCAAGCTGAGCTTGCAGTCTACTGAGTTAGGCAACCTCTGTCAAGACCATAAACAGTTTAATGATTTCTAAAGGGAAAGAAGTGCACATGCCAGACAAAAGAGTAAGAAGGAGTCTAGTTGTAGCTGGAGGAAGCGAAGGGATCAATCAGTTGCAGATATGCATCAGCAAAATATTTCTTAACAACTGACCAAATCCTGCCATCTAACTATTGTGCGAGCATTATCTGCAAAGCACGTGGAAAGAAGTTTGAATAAGACTCAAAAATAAATGCTCAGGTGCTGCAACCCACCCTTGTATCTTACTCCGCTAAGTACTACAGGTGACAGAGGCCAAAATGAATGAAATAGAAATTAAACCATGAGTAGAGGGTTGGTAATTTACAGTTGCAGGAGTCTGCACGTGTGTGCATACATATATACATGCAGAGTGGCATTTTTTCATAGGACAGCTTTCTCAAATCTCAGCAAACATAAAACTCTTAACACACAAACGTTCCCTCTGAAGGGACTCTAATTTCAGACATAGTCACAATTCAATTTGTATGCTTGCTATTTAAAACTAATTCAAGTTATGAGGATGCAACACAGGAAACATCTGTGAAATGTCAGATCAACTTGAAGAAATATCCAGTACTGTATTTCTATATTAAAAATTCGTTTTTACTCACTTAGCTGACATTTTGGATAGATGAAGCTTTTCAAGGAGCCGAGAAGCAGAAGAATCTCCTATATAACTTTTTCTGCAGTTATGAACCTAAGACCAGTTAGACCCTGAACAAGCCAAAAAGCCACAGTCATCAACTCTCTGCTTATATTTGAAGAACTGTCTTCAAATATGTATCAAACCTTTCCCCAGAACAGGAAAACATGCTGATAATGCCTGCTGGTCAAAGACTTGAGGTCTTCCATGTGCCTTTATAACCCATTGTCTCCTCAGAGAACCCTCCCAGGACAGGCAGTGGAACCATGTGCGGAGCAGTTGGTTTGAACTCACTGTTTATAGAAGTACCACAATAGTAAGGCAGAGAACTCCCATTAAGAACCTTGTTTCTTTTCCTATCCTTCACCCCCTTCCAGGGAAGAGTGCTCTTCTGGTGAAATGGAAGCAAGAAGGTGGTGGAGCTGGCTGTAGAGAGCTAACGCCACGTTGAATTATGCACAGCTTGAATATGCTACAGATTTATGTATTGCAACCTATGTCTTTTAGTACAATGCCCAAGACACTTGATAGGCTTCTAGCATGCAGTGCAATCATTCTTAAGCTGGTTCAAAATGGCATTGGAACTCTTTCCAAAAAGAGGGGGAGGAGGAAGACCTCACTGTTGGATTCCATTAGTCTGCCACACAGCAGGAGATGGTTCTCAGATTGGCAGAGCAGAGGTCATTTTGGAGCTAATACAAGTGACTCAGAAGAGTCCTCTGTAGTTCCCACAAAGAGTGAACATCAAAGTGAGCCATCCAGCTTCTGAAGGCCAGAGGGTAGAATGGTAGATGAACGGAAGGAGGTACAAATTATGCAAACACCAGAAGACTATTTGAATCCTTCAGTTTACACAGCCACCCATCAGGTTGTGATGTCAGCGGCAAAACTGACACAGCACGTGACTAGATCTTGAGCAGAACTTTAGTTCTGACTGCATTAGCTGCAGCACAGAACAGCACAGCTTTTTTCTTCTGATAAGATCGTGAATGATAGAGCATAAGCCTGAGCACAAACCACTTGCAGTGATGACTTATGGCAAAGGTGAGGATGAGGAGATGTTTTAGTAATAGGGAACTCTTCAGCCAAACGTGAGACCAGTTTCTGCAACCTATTTATGAGCTGTTGGTCATTTAAATAACATAGAAACTGCTAGCACTCGGCAGTAAAGCAACTTGCCTGTGACCATTAACTGCAGCAGAGGTAGAAATCAGAAAAGCATCTACAAGCTGTTAAACATACTATCCTGTTTCAGAAGGAAATTATGCATGCACACTACAAAGTAACAGTTTATCCAATAAGGTTTTAGGGTTTCTTTTCCTTTTTTTCTTTTCTTTTTTTCTTTTCCTCCCTCCTCCCCCAAGCAACAGAACAAAAAAAAAGTATTTTAATCTTAAAAAAAAAGCCTAGCATAGTATAAAACAGATTTTTTTAAAAGCATACATTGGTACAAATTTGTTTATTCCCACAAGAAGGGCCATTTGTTTCAAAACAAGTATTGCAGTTTTGTTAATCTAAGGCCCAAAATCACCCTCATTAGGTCTCTTATCCAGAAGGGATTTTGTTTCTATATTAAAAATGTAACAATTACATTGGCCTTTTACACAGTCTTTATTTTCTAAATTATTTACTGTGTACAGCCTACTAAATAGAAAATGAAATTCCTTTAGTTGATTCAGCTTATTTGCAGCTCAAATCAGATTGATCTCAACAAATAGATGCTGTCTGGAACTTATTTATGAGATTATTGTACGTTACTTTAAAATGTATTTTGCTTTGAGATTATCTTGGTTTTGTGTGAATAAAGCACGCCCTTTTCTCCACATACTTGCCATATATACTCTTAATGCTCTTAAGTTCTCATGACATCTTCTAGGGAAAGGAAGACATCTGACCCAGAATGGCATTTCTGCCATAAATGGTAGTGATTTATTGAGCTCTCTAACTAGTTCAGCCACCTTACAGCTCAGCTTCTTACAGCCTCACAAATCAGACCAAATTTTCCCCAGCTCTGCACACAAGGCCTCTATCAGATTACTAGGTCTTATACGCAGAGCAGGTAATTCTGAATTGTAATTTTTATGTAGGAGACATCCATTAGCATTAGTTTAGCTTAGCAGCAGTTACCTATTGGATTCATGTTATGCCAGAGAACACATCTTGTCCATTATTTCATCAATTTATTGTGTTAGTTTTCAGTCTGTACCATGAATAATCTGAATAAATCTTTCCGTATGTTTCCATTTCTCCTAGATATTGATGAATGTGCTGAAAATGTTTGTGCTCAACTCTGCGTAAACTCTCCAGGAAGTTATAGCTGCTATTGTGATGGCAAGAAAGGGTTCAAGCTCTCTAAGGACATGAGGAATTGTGAGGTAAATCTGCACTATGTAAAATTCCATGTGGAAAAATCACAGAAGTTGGATATTTCTTGATTACAGGATAAATTAGATTAAGGAAAATAGAAGCTGTTTGAGAACTGATTCAAAATTTCTGAGAAAGTGATGAGGACTCTGGGCTGTGGTTTGGCTCACAAAGCAGACCTGGTAGGGATTTGGATGCCATTCAGCTCATGTATGCTTATTTACAGGAAACCTGTCAAAAGGAGCTTGCCTTAGCCAGTTGTCTTTATTCTCTACTGTTTCTAAAATAAGCCCCAGCTTTCTCCCATCAAAAAAATAATTCCTGTTCAGCTTACTCTGAGACAGAATACTCCATTTGTCCATATGTTCCCAGGTTTTCCTTAGACTGTGCAAAAGTTTTCACTCTTTCAGAGCTACTCTATGGTTTGCCTTTTTGGGTTATAAAAAATGGATTGTTTTCTACAGTTCTCATCTGCCATAGAATAAGAAAAAGCACTTAGTAATACTTGCTAGCTGAAGAACGTCTCGCAGCCAAAATCAGCTGTTCTTGCTCAGTTTGAAAATTTACACTTCTTAGTAGCAGAAAGTTTGAAACTCTGGAGAATTCCATCCAGTTCAAGGATTTTATTGTGAGTGGTTCTCTCTATACTTCGAAAGATTCAGGCAGGCTGAGACTTGTTATGCTAAGTGAGCTCAGATAACTGCCAACAAAAACACACTTCTAACAGTATAACAAAATCGGGATTAAACCATAGGAACAAGGTCAGACACAAATTTGAGCATGTATGTATTAGACATTGTTTATACTTTATGAAATTTAATATCTGAACAACACTGGCAGTCATTATATTTCATTTTGCTTATTTATGAAATAGGAAGAGTATCTTCTGGTCTCATTACATATTGTTTTCAATACCATTGTTCAAAAGTGATTAACTCTCTATCTGGAAGTTAGTTTCAGGCCTTTTAATTGGAAAAAAAAAAAAATTAATTAGCTGAAAATAGATACAGTCCACAGACTAGTGACAGTAGCAGGTGTAAAATGAAGTAGCCAGAAAATTCAGGATGAACATCCATATGTTTAATGAAACTGCTGCATTGTGAATACAGAAGTCAGAGTTTGGAAACTGCAGTGTTAACTGTTACCAAAGTACAGCAAGTCTTGAGAACAGAAAAGCCCTTCACACCTATACTTGATCGTTCGCTTCTATATGACTACTATACTGCCATCAAACAGAAGATATTCAAGGCCTGTTTTGAGGAATAACTTTAGATCAAAGAGATTTTTAGGCTTCTAATAGTCAATGAGACGGTCACTCTAAACCACATTCTAGAAAAGTCTTCCCACCTCTCTCCATATGCAGATCCTAGTTCCCTGTACCTGAAGGAAATCCAAGCGCTTTACTTTTAGAACAAAACTAGATATTACTTTAATTATAGCATCACCGTTTTAAGAGATAAAGACGTCAACAATGCCTTAGAATGTATACCTGACATTTGTTTACTGAATGTTTTACTAGTTTAATCTTGCACCACACATAAAATAGACATCATTCCTGGATATAAACATCTTTGTTTAGCAATTCAGGTAAATCATAGAATGGTAGATGTTGGAAGGGACCTCTGGAGATCATCTAGTCCACACCCCTTGCTAAAGCAGGTTGCACAGGATCGCGTCCAGGCAGGTTTTGAGTATCTCCAGAGAAGGAGAATCCACAACCTCCCTGGGCAGCCTGTTCCAGTGTGCTGCTACCCTCGAAGTAGAGAAGTTTTTTCCTCATGTTCAGATGGAACTTCCTGTGCTCCAGTTTGTGCCCGTTGCCCCTTGTCTTGTCACTGGGCACCACTGAAAGGAGCCTGGCCCCCACCCTCTTGACACCCACCCTTCCGACACTTGTAAGTAATGATAAGGCCCCCCCTCCTGCAGGCTAAAGAGCCCCAGGCCTCTCAGCCTTTCCTTGTAAGAGAGATGCTCCAGTCCCTTAATCATCTTCATGGCCCTCTGCTGGACTCTCTCCAGTAGCTCCCTGTCTGTCTTGAACTGGGGGGCCTGAAACTGAACGCCATACTTCAGATGTGGCCTCACCAGGGCGGAGCAGAGGGGGAGAATGACCTCCCTCAACCTCTGGCCACACTCTTCTTAGTGCATCTCAGGAAACCACTGGCCTTCTTGGCCACAAGAGCTCATCACTGGCTCACGGTCAACTTAGTATCCACCAGGACTCACAGGTCCCTCTCTGTAGAACTGCTCTCCAGCAGGTCGACCCCCAGCCTGTACTGGTGCGTGGGGTTATTCCTCCCCAGGTGCAGGACCCTACACTTGCCCTTATTGAACCTCATCAGGTTCCTCCCCGCCCAGCTCTCCAGCCTGTCCAAGTCTCACTGAATGGCAGCACAGCCCTTTGGTGTGTCACCCACTCCTCCCAGTTTTGAGTCGTCAGCAAACTTGCTGAGGGTGCACTCTGTTCCTCCATCCAGGTCACTGATGAATATGTTGAACAAGATTAATACCTGAAAGAACAAGCACCATTTTTTCCCTTCTCATTGCAACTGCAGTTGACTGACTGTGTTTACTCACATGACTTTGGCTAGAGCCTTAAGATTAGTCCCATTTTTACATACTCTTTTAGGCCACTGAAAAGCAAAAGTTGCCACAAATACTTAGAACTTTTTTTACAGTTTTCCCAAGAATGTAGTCTTAAGAGCTTCATATCCCCACTAATAGTTCTCAGAAATATTAATTCAGTGTTATTCCAGCAAAAATTGTGGTGTCGATTTCATCAACGTTCCTTTCCAGAGCTCAAATAGGACAAGAACATTCAAGGAACAGCCAGCTAGAAACATTTTCTATTAATATGTTACTTAATCCACTTTTAAATTGTTACTTTTTATTCCAAGTAGACGATTCTAGTGGTACTAGAGGTCGTTCAGCTATGAGTAGTTGTACATCAATATTGACAAATAAAAGGTGATATTTTTATTTATTTATTTATTTTTAAACTAAATCTTCAAGACACAGCTCTAGCTCCATTCCCTTCTAACACCTGATCAGGTTTAGATTCCAGACAACTTTAATAATGGAGCCTCACAGGACCCTAGTACGTGGGTGTCACAGGTCCCTGGTGAAAGAAAAATGCCTGATGGAAGGTTTGAATTCTTGGTTCAAATACTAAATATTTAAATATTAGTTGCAATCCACCAGAACTGTGTTTCAACCTGAATTATCTTCCCACAGCTTAAATAATGGACGTTTCAAGCAAAACCAAAATCACCCCCCTTCATTTGTACTGATGAATTAAAGTTTAGAAAAAAAAATCCACACAAAAAAAACACACACAGAGGTAAGCCGTTGCTTTAAAAAAAAAAAAAAGACGCTAATATAGGAGTTGCTTCATGAACTATCACAATGCATTAACAGCTTTTTTTATTCTCTACTCTTTTCAGTCTGTTACTGCGTGTATCCCACTGAACCTTGAAAAGAATTATGAACTGCTTTACCTGGCAGAGCAATTTGTAGGAATTCCTGTTCTGTACTTAAAGTTTAAATTGCCAAATGTCACAAGGTAAGCATTTACAATTGATAAAAGTATGCATTGAAGTTATGGACATTTATTTCTATTAATTTTCTGAGGTTTTAGAAAGAGTGCATTGCATGCATAAATTGTATCACAATCTTCCTACTAGGTAAGATATCTTTATATGGAGAACAAATTCACTTGGGTTCTTACATACACAATCATAGAATCTTTTAGGTTGGAAAAGACCTTTAAGGTCGTCAGGTCCCACCCTTAACCTAACACTATCAAACCCACCACAAACCATGTCCCTAAGCACCACGTCTACACGTCTTTTAACTACCTCCAGTGGTGGCGACTCAACCCATTCCCTGGGCAGCCTGTTCCAATGCTTGACAACCCTTTTGGTGATGAAATTTTTCCTAATGTCCAATCTAAACCTCCCTTCACACAACTTGAGGCCATTTCCTCTTGTCCTGTCACTTGTTACTTGGGAGAAGAGACTGACAACCACCTCACTACAACCTCCTTGTGCAGCGCAATAAGGTCTTCCCTCATCCTTCTTCAGATGTTACAGGAAAATGATTACTGTACAGCTTCCAATTATATATGGCAATGGCTTTTATTTAGATGTTGCTGCTACTTCATTTCTGCTCTGGGTAGAAGCTGTGACATGCTACACACGTACTGCTGAGAAACAAAAGCAGGCCAGCGCTTGCTCCCCACCCCTGTGCTTCCTTTCACAGGGTGTTCCGAGGATACCGATAGAGCACAGTACCTTGTCTAGAGCACCGTCTGTATGATTTCCTTTACAGCTGTCAGAACAATTGCTAATGGTAGTGACCCTTTTATTACTCTTGGACTTCTTTGCTGCAGCAGCTGAAATTGCAGTGTTCCTTGACTTACTGACCGAACAATTTGAGGGTAACAGCAGCAGCAGCTAAGCTGGTGTTCCCCAGAGCCTTGGAACCTTACAGAAGGACATAAATATTGAGAACTTTTTCCTCTGCCACTATTCCAAGTTGACCAGGCATTAATGCTCTCCTGGAAGACCTTTCTAAGATGATAAATGTTTGAAGCCATCTTAATAGTCTCTGTGTAAATACAGAATAATTTTTCTGTGGGTCTGCGTGAGGCACAATGACATCTAGTGGACAAAGAGCAAGACTCAGTGAAAGTGACCCAAGTTAATTACAGCTCCCTTACTTGTTTCGTCTTCAGTAAATCCTAACTTCTAAATGCTTTGTTTTCTCTTTTCATTCTTAATCTATTTTATCTAGTCCAAAAGTTCTAGGAGACAAGTACTGTTTTTCACTATACTTACACTCTTTCTCTTCCACTGTACAGGTATTATAATATACACCATAGTTTTGCTACATACACATGTTCAACTAGCTGCCAAGATCCAGACAAGAAATCCTTGAATTAGAGAGTGATATATAAAAGGCAGCAGTAACCAAAGAAAATTGCTAGGTTGTAATTGTTGTAGGACAACAACTGGCAACCCTGTTGGACTGAAGCACATCATATAGATCATGTGTTTTTTTCCTCATTGTGTCCCCATGAAATGCAATAGGAATATTACATCTATCTTCTTAGTCAAGGGAGCATGATGTCCTTCACGTGTAAAGCTCATAGCAGGTTTGGGAACTGAACCAAGGCTCTTTCAAATCCCAGCTCGGGGTGTTAATCTCAAAACTTTCCACTGGATTCAGACGAAGGCGGCTTATGTTAGATTCTGCTTTTGGCTAATTGCATGCAAATATCATGACTGCTTGGATACAGAATTACCAAAAGGTTAATATCTATGAACTTTTTTTTTTTTTGCCCTGTTAATGAGTTATCCTAGGCTATACAATATTTCATGTTTCCTGTCTTCTTATTAAGATTCCTTCCTCACAACTCAGATTTACAGCAGAATTTGATTTCCGGTCATATGATGCAGAGGGAGTTATACTATATGCAGAATCCCTTGACAATACAGCATGGATCCTGCTTGCTCTTCGTGATGGGAAGATTGAAATTCAATTCAAGAACGAATTTGGTACAAAAGTCACCAGCGGAGGCAAAGCCATTAATGATGGACTGTGGCATATAGTAAGCTGGGTTTTCTTCTCCCCTTTCCTTCAACCCAGTGTGGGAACACTCTGACTTTATAAGTAAAGTAGGGAGAAACTAAGCAACTATTAAAAAGGCTTAAAATTATGCCTTCAAATCCCAAATTTAAAAGTCAACCAAGAAATGCACAACACCTTACATCTGGGAAATTGTGGCACCTGCTTACAATCAAGAAAGAGGTAATTACCTCTATCTGGCAATATAGGAATTCTTCTTTGTAATCATGAAAAAGGAAGCAGCAGAATATTAAAAAGTGTGATTGCATGGTCAAGTGCATAGTTATTAGATACTTTGTCTAAAGAGCAAGTATTACATTTGCTAGACCAGAAATCCGTCTCATTCTTCAAGCTTGCATACCTAAGATGAAAGGCCTTGCTCGCTTACATCATCTATAAATGGTACCACATTATCAACAGCAGTTAGGTTTTGTTTGTTTGTTTTTAACAGAGGTAAGAGAAGCTAGGATTCTGCATAGACCTTTTGTTTCAGTTCAGTACAGCATTCCTGAGATTAAAATGTAATTTGTATTTAAAATATTCTACATGTTTGTGTGTGTGTAATTATTTTTATTTAATTCTAGATATCAGTTGAAGAACTAGAACACAGCATCAGTGTAAAAATAGCTAAAGAAGCTGTGATGAGTATTAACAGCCCAGGAACTCTCTTTAAACAATCACAGGGTTTCTTGGAAACTAAAGTGTACATTGCAGGATTACCTCGCAAAGAGGACAATGCTCTTGTCAAACAGGTAAGTAGAATAATAAGAGTAATGTTGATTAATACTGTTCTGTTATTTGTTTGGTTTTGTATTGTTTGCTTAGTAGTCACAGAGGAAGGGAGAGTGATATGGAATCCATTTAGAAAATGAAAATCAGGTTATTAAACCACTGTTTTGAAAATAAACATGCATGAAGCTTTGTAGTCTGTCTTCAGTTAGGTTTCAGTTGTAAAACCACAGCACTTACGGTCTAATCTTCCAGGATTCCGTAACTTGTTTCCTAATATAGCTTCAAGACTCCCTAAATCACCACCACTTCTGCTGCAAGAGCATTTCAGAATGATACATGTTTCTGGTGCTGGCTTTTGCTAGGCTCCATCCAATTCATTGGGCAGGCAGGACTATGAGCATTCATTTTTACTAGGTTCTATAATAGCCCAGGCTAGACGAAGCCTGTGATTCTTTCAGTCTTCCATCCTCAACAGCTCTATCTTATGCTGAGGATGGGTACAGTGAAGTTGTTGCGACTGTCTGCTTTGCAGTCCAGGAGCCCTCAAAGTAATTGGAAATCTAAACAGAGAGGCAAGAATAACTGTGCAGTAGAGGCTGCACCTTTTTTTTTTGTTTAGCAAAAATTGATTTTTTAAAAGTAAGGCAGAGAGAAAAAATATGAAGCAATACAGCAACATCCCCTTACCCAATAGAAAGTAGTTATATTTTTTTGTATTCTGGTACAAGGAGAAGAAACCTTGAATGAGGAACAATGCTAGTGGTCGTTGTCTTTCAGCTACAGAAAAGCTGTTGTGACCTAAACAAAAGGACAGCATGAGCTTTAAAAAGTGAAGCAATCCATTTTGTACAGATCACTGGCATCAAAATGGGAAATGTTATTAAATCAGAAGTACCTTTTGAAGGCTGCGGTAATAAATGCATGCCATTTGTTTTCTCCCAGCATCAGTGCTGTAACCTATAGCATTGATTAGGCTATTATTGGCTACTCAGAAGTAAGTTGATGTGTAAAGTAATGCTGTTTTATTAACATTTTTAAAACAACTTTGAATGCAAACACCTACTGCTATAATTCTCGTACAGATTAACCCTCGGCTAGACGGGTGCATTCGTGCATGGAACCTAATGAATCAGGGACATTCAGGTGTAAAAGAAGTTATTCAAGAAAAACAAAGTAAACACTGTTTGGTAGCAGTGGGGAGAGGATCCTTCTACCCTGGCACTGGAATGGCAAAGTTTCAGATAAATTATAGTAAGTATTTTTCTGTCTGTTCTTATATTTTTTGCTGGACTGATGATGGAACTGATGAATTGTTAAAAGAAAGAAAAAGAAAAAACAAGGACAAACACACAAACTAAGCTATACACCACTGCATCCAGCAATGATTCCTGTAAGTTCTGTTAGAAATTTTCTTGAATGAGAATTCTGATCCCATGGTGTCACTCGTTTAATTTCTGAACTGCTTTAGGTTAGGAAGCATATTTTTTTATTTGCAAAGGACGGGCACTGTTGAACACATTCGCTTTCCAGAGATCTAATTCCATCCTCTGTTCATCAGTGGGGAAAGCTATCGTATTACTGACAGAAAAAGCAGATGGCGAAAAGGATCACCGAGTTTTGTGTATGCAATTTTGCTTCTGAACAAACACCCTGTGTAGAGATTTGAGATGCATCTCTTGCTGCGTCCTGAACCCAGAACTCTCTTACCTGACCTCCTGCCCTAATTTCAAAAGTTTCAACTCAGAATCTCCTTGTGCACACTTGAGATCGCAAAATAAAACATCTCTTGAGCATCATCCCAAATCCTATTGTCATTATACTCTTCCTCATCCCGAATGCTGTGCAACCCTTTAGCCCTGTTCTGATTCCCACTCCTTTTCATCCTAGGTCTTGCTATTCTTTCCCAGGCCTTTTCTTTAAATTCCCTAGCCCACTTCAAAAAATTTCTCCAGCTTTTTATATTCTATGCTTACAATAAACTTATATTAGAGTTTCCTATGCCACTCAAGTGTCAACTTTCCTCCTATTCATTCACTAACACCACACTGCCATGACTCCTCTTGACCTTTATGTTTGGGGCTGCTGCAATGGCTTCACCCACTCTCCTTCCTGTTCTCACAACACCCCACACCCCCAAATCCGAGAGGCTGCCCTACTATGAGGTATTATAGCCCACTGTCTCCCTCCCCATTTGGCTTTGTATAGGAATACAACGACCTCATTTTAGGATTTCTGCTTCCTCAAGAAATGACTAGAAATTAAGAAACTGCCAGAATTGACTGGGGGGAGTGGTGAGGAAGAGACACTGGAAAAAGATACAGGAGATAACAAATATTTCTTAAATAGTTATTTTTATATTAGCTTCGCTGTCAGTGCATCATAAAATCATATTTTCACCATCTGCATATTTACACACCTGCGTATTCCTATTTTAATAGTGGAACTGCTTTGGAATGTAAAAGTGTATGAAAACTGCCAATCTTCCACTCAGTGGCAGATTTATGAGTAAATTAGGGTTTTGGGTTTTATTTTGAACTGACTTCTGATGAATGTGGCACCTGGTCCATGTTAGAATGCAGAAAGTAGCAAAAAAATAAAAAAGTCCAATAAGCACAGAAGATTAGGGAAGATGCAGGATTAAAAGTGTTTCGTTTTGGTAGGGGGGTATTTTGGGTTTGTTTTTTTTTATTAGACATAGTTCTTTCTATAAGTTTCAAAGTTCATTGTTTTTCTGGAGATGAGTACTAATTTTTCCACAGTGGGAACAGATTAAACACTAATGCTTAACAACATATTAATTTGTCATTAGCAGATGAATTTATTAATTTCAATTATTCTTTTTAAACAGATAATCTTAACAGCGCTGAAGATTGGCTAATAAATGTGACTATGACTATTCGCCCATCCACAGACACTGGTGTTATGTTTGCCTTGGTTTCTAATGAAACAGTGCCTCTTGCTTTGTCCATAGTGGACTCTAACTCCTCTGACTCACAGGTGATCTTAGAAATATCATAGCAGCTGATATGCATATAAGTCACACCTCTTGTTTTTGTCTCATTTAACTTACTACTCCATTTGTGAAAAATCAAACTAAAAAAAGCTACTCACACTTACTTGCAGTGGAGCTGGTAGGTTGAATTAATATTTTGAAGAGCACTTAGATCATATAGCAATGTGCAGAAAATATGTTACTATTAAGGATTGCTACAGCAGTGACTAAGCACTCTTACATCAGGTACTATCCATTACCTCACGTCTTTAACCTTTCCTTCCAAATGCACAAAGCAGAGAGGGGAATATGACAGAAGTAGAATGATGATAGTATAGTAATGGCATCATGTTAGTTTCAGTTTGTAAACAGATCTTTTTGTCCTTAAGTTTCCCTTTAGATCTGTTTACATCAGGCATCCCAAGAGAGCATGATTATACACCAGGGCTAATCCATGCTTTTGCCTGAAATAAGAAGCTATAGTGAATGCTTGGTTACCTTTGAAACTGTAGCAGTACTCCTTTGTAAGAGAAACAGGATTTCACCTCAGAACTGTAGCCACAGATTTTTTGCAGTGAACATTCTCACTTATAAATTTAAGAATATAAGTGAATGGCATTCATCACCAAAGGTGATGGTTATACATCAACTTCGGTAACTTTTCCAACTTAAGGTACCAGGTTTTTTACAACGTGGCTCTAACATTTCCTTTTCTTCTACTTCCAAATATAAAATGCATCAGAACTAAGTGTAATTATGTGTTGAAGTTATATATGAATGACATCTTTTGTGACCTATCATTCTTCCATTTAGAAAATCATTGTAACCGTTGGAAACATCACTGTGGCACAACTGGAATCAAAGAAGTTATGTACACCCAGAAAAGTGCTGGTTGGACTTCTAGTGACCAAACAGCAACTTGAACTGTCTGTTGATTCACACACAGACAGAAGCACTTCAGAGCAACTGTCTATCCTGCATCAAGCAATGATGAAAAATGTCTTTACCTACTTGGGTGGCCTGCCAGGTGAATCCTATTTCTTTTCATTAATTTAATTTATTTGTACAAGCCTGATTATATTCAGCCTTACCCAAGCTAGAAAAAGCCTCCAACTGTACAAAAAGAAAACAGGTGTCCAGTCTTGTCTCCCCACCCCAAGTGCTTCGCTTTTCAACAGTGGCATTAGAAGGCACGAGTCTCTAGAGGTTTGAATTCGGAAAATGTCTTGATTTTTGAGCTGGGGAGGAGTAAGAATTAAATATTTCTGAAATGCCATCAGCTGGCACAATTTAGGAACTGCAACAAGCATGTAAGAAAACCATGCATTTGTAAGTAAACTAAGTGTTGGTGCTTACATCAGCTTAGTTTACTAAGTTTACAGCTTAGTTTACTAAGTGCTGAATTAGTCAGGAATATAGTTTCAGCAATTAAACTCTGGGCAATAAGTGACTGGCAATCTTTATGAGACAGAAGATGTGTTGAAACAGGAAATATTTTGTTTAAAGCAAGCTGCAAGTGTATCCCAAGTCTTAAGACACGTACAAGTATTATTTTGTACAGGAAGTGTACACATGCTTATCTATGAAATAGTTTGACTTCAGGGTGAATCGTGAAGAAAAACAGCATTGCTACAGATGAGGAATTTTCAAAGCCCAAGGTCCTCAAATTTGAAAATTGGTAGAGGATAGACACCACGGTTACCAAGTTACTACCAGCAGAGCTTTTCTGTATCCTGTATTAAAGTTATTGTAGGGAGAATGTCACAATTCCTAAGGAAATTCTAAGAATTTGACCAACATAGCCTTGAATTGACATCCATTTTACATGTAGGCTGCAGCCTCATGGCACTGCCCCAGATATAGCTCGTCTGCAGTATGTTTCTTCTGCAGGAGACAAGGGTGCACAGGAGTAGAAGTAGGGAAGGAACTGTGTATCCATTGGAGAGGATCTCTTTAGACATTTCTTCCAAGGTAGTGTACACAGTAACAGCTGGAATTATTGTTCCACCCTCTAGACTTGCTAGAATAAAAGGAAGGTGTTTAGGGCAGCACTGTAGGTACCACGGCCTATGTCTGAAGTGGCAGTTGCCTCAGTATCCAGGCCCATGTTGGAATTTACTTTTCTCTACAAGTCTTCATACACTGGTAATTGGGGAGGTACAAGATTTAGGCACCAAATATGACAATTTCTCCTCTAATCTTGTTTTTGAATGGATATGCAATACCTTGGAAACCAGATAGCCAGGTGAGTGCGATTCAAATAGAACGTGTAGAATGAGAAGAATGCACTAATGGTACAGCACAGATACCACAATAAGTAAGCATCAGTGGTTTTGTAATACCTCCTCACTTTTAAAAGAGTCACTATTTACTTAGTAAGGTGAGTCAGCAGGTTAACTGAGCCATAGCAACTTAACTAATATTCTCGTCATTTCTTAGACCTCTTAATCTTTGTGGTATTTAAATGATTCTTTCTAGTCCATTGTCAGCCACAGAGTAATTGGCATCTTAAGAGCTAAGACCTTGGCTTCAGTCATTCATCCCAAATAGATAAGAAGCAAGTATTAGTTACTTGCTGCTCGTTAAAAGTAAATGTAATCTCTCAGTTTTGAAAGGTGTCTTTGTCATGCAAATTAACAAAAAAACTCTGTACATGTAAGCATGTACTTAGAGGTGTCAAAAAAGCAACAAAACCCAATGTTATCCAAAGGAGCCTGTTCCACAACAGCCTCTGTTACCAAAGAGGGAAAAAGTAATACAGGAAAATTACTTTATGTCCCTGTGTACAGCCAGTTTGGCTACACCAATTCATTTACTTAGTGTAACTCATCCCTGAAAAGCCTCTGGGATTACTGAGCAGTATGAAAAGGTAGGTAAGGATCCCCACACTGAGCTTCAGTACACAGTGCTGCATGGTTAAAAGGCACCTAACAAAAAAGAAAACCACCAACTTATTTCTTGAAGACCATAAGTTCCCATTTTTGATACACATTCCTTCAAACTAGTATCAACATTGGGAGTACACCTCTTTGTTAATTCATTCAGCACAACCATTGCAGGCTAAATGAGACTCATACAGTTCTATGACAGCAGCATTATAATCACTGGAGTAAAAAGAGCAATAGGGCATGATTCTACAGGACTGTTTGTGCAGTACCTCAGCTTACAGCAAAATAAAATCACAAGGAAGCAACATTTCTTGTTCCCTGGACAGGAAAGATAGATGGACAAATCTATCTTCTAGGAGGAAATAGGGTGATTAACGTCTGGGGGGGGGGGAAAATGATGCTCTGGAGATCAGCTTCTAGGCATCCTTATTCTAGTTACTGAAGGTACTTGGGTCACCTTACATCCACCTTGTAAGAATCCAGTTGTACTCCAAGACCTCAGAGCCATGCCTGCTTGATTTTGTGCTTAACATATTGCTTCCTGGAAGTGTATCCATGATCTGATGTTGTCATGATCCAAACAGTACTTAATTGAGCAACAGATAAAGTGAGTCTTTTACAGAGAACTCATTTTGAAGAAGCAGTAAGGAAGCAGTAAAATGTGTGGAGTTCCCAGGAGTCCCCTATCGGAGAACTTGCAGATTTGCATCCAGAGTAGCTTTCTGGCAAAAGCAAGATGGTTCTTTCTGTAACCTCTAAACTCAAACATCTGTTTGTAGGTCAGGACAAGAACAGTGGACTCCAGGAAACAAACTGTTGGTTCACTGTTGTTAATACAGTAAATGCTACTATGAAAAACATTCTTGTAGTTCAGTTTCTGGATGGAAATAGATTCCTAATGCGTATTTCAAATTTTACTGACTTTTCTTAGCTTTGCTGACTTTTTCTCTATCTGAAAGGAAAGGGAGAAGAACTTGAGTGTTTCCTGCCAAATTGCTCTTTTCTCCCATGGCTGACTAATAGATGAGGAATGGAGTATTCCCCATGATTCTGCTGATCTTAAAAATACGTAAGAATTCGCATGCCTTGGCCTAATAAATTGAATGTGTTTCTCTGCAGATGTTCCTCTGGGTGCTACGTTAGTAACCGCTTTTTATAATGGCTGCATGGAGGTGAAGGTCAACAACAGACAGCTGGATCTGGATGAAGCCATTTCCAAACACAATGACATTAGATCTCACTCATGCCCACTGATTATGCAGTAACCATTCAATTCTTAATTTAACTTTTTTCTTTCAGATATAATTTGTGTAATTAGTCTCATGCCGTAATGAAGCCTGTATTATTTTATTCAAGATGTGCCAGGAAAATAATCAACAGCGTGGTTTTCCTCCTCTTATGTAGAATAGGGGAAAAATCCCTTCTCTTTTCAGCTGTAAAGAGACAATCAAGATCAAAATTCTGTAAAATGTTCTTCTATTCATATCAGTGATAAGTCTTAAAGCTAGATTTATCTTCCATGTTCAGACTATGCCCTTGATACATTTAGTTTGGAGAGAAGGTTCAGGGAGTTCTGTTTAGAAACAGTTTTACTCTTTAGTTTTCGTATATCAGCACAAAGTTACAAGTTGTAAGTTTTGATAATGTATTTGAATCTAACCAAAACCAGACTCATTAAACTTTCCCAAGCATAGCATATAAAGAAAAATCTCTACAGGTTTTGTAATATGTGCTTTTGGTAAAGGAACAAATATCCCAAAACCCAGAGCCCAAGCTCTCTGTGAGTATGTTTACAAGTTGTATCAATATTGATAAAGCAATTTCAAAACTGAAATGTTTTTCTAAGTAGCTCAGTTTTGGAAAATATCTCTTGTTACACTGTACCAGCTTTAATTCTTCTGTCTTAGGGACCCAGCTTTAGACTTCTAACAGACTTCTGGATCAGGTTAGGTAGTTTACTTTCAGAGTGGGTTAAAATACACCCCAGGCAATTTTGGAAAACAGAGGAGATGGCTTGAAAGAAGGAGCTCCGGTCTTCATCGCAGGATGTCAAACTGGAATTTGCTACATGTAGCTGAGAAATTGAAGCAAACGTTTCTTCCATTCATGACAAGCCTAGCACTCCTCAATATGAGCACCACCATCATATTCCCCTTATTTAGGTCAATCTTGCATTCAGAGCCCCGGAAGAGATTTGTTTGTGTTTCAGACTGACTTGGAAGCCTAAGTTTTGCTAGTAACATCAGAATGTAAAGCCATATTCTGCTCAGCCAACTTTAATGGGACAGGTAATTAGAAAAGTATTGTTTCCCTCAGGTGTGCTCATTTCAAGCATTTCTGATATTTCTTTAACATCCTTTGAGTTTTCTTTCCACTTCCAACCTCATTTTCAGACAACCAGAAGCCTCCCTGTGCAGCTCACCTAGTGGTTTTGTTAACCCCAAACCAAATAAGTAGCGAGAGAATTGCTGTAAGCAATGAATATATACTCTCATCCATCAACCGAAGAGACATTTATCTGCCAGGATTCTTGACCTGAGGTTTGCTTTCTTCACTTGAGACACTGAAGTGGAAATGTATCTACAGAAGGATGGATTGTGACAATATTCATTTTGAGGATTGCCTTTCTCCAGAGATATTCCCAGTGACATTAGTGAGGTTTCTTTCATTGTTGAGTACTAACATTAGCACATCAGTATTGCCGAATCTGAGCCCATCTTTCAACATTATTGCTTTGTCTGAGGTTATTGGTAACTTCACTTCCCACTTATGTAATGTTATACAGGATTTGCTCTGACTTCCACACCAGCCAGCCTCAGTAGGGTCTCTGAATCTGTCCAGCACTGGTTCATACGTAGCTGCTTACCATCAGGATCACCATACGGCTGACGCCCAGGGGCTAACTGCCAGTCAACTACTAGTTCACTTTTCTAGGGTGGCATGTAAAAAAAGCTTTGATTTCCCCCGGCTCCATAGGGGGAAAATAATTGCAGGAGGACATCCCTCCCTCCTCTTCTCACATCCCAGCAAACACATTCTTCATTTTGGCCTAAGCTGAAGAATAACTTAACTGAAATAAGCAGGTTTTGCATGCAAGGCAGAGCAGAATTTGGACTTTTGACATCACGTGCACATGTGATTACTGCATTTATAGCATCTCAGCAGTACCCACTGAATTCTGGAAAGCCCTTGGGTCAGGCATTGCCTTGTCCAACAAACACAGGAATGCTGAGAGGAGGAACACAATGTAAAGTGTCAGCAGTACTCTAAATGCTTATGTCTGTCTGTGCGAACAGAAGGAAAGGTTTGGGGTTGGTTTGTTTGTTGGGAATTTTTTTTTTAGGTTTTGTTTTTAAGTGTAATAAATGGTATAGAGGTAAAACGAAAGAAACAATTTCGTTTTCTCACACAGACACCATTTCTTTTTGTTTTCATGTAATAATGTTTTCGGGTTTTGTAGTTATGATGGAACCTCTGCACATCTTTTTTTTTAATGTGAAAGTGCCTACCTATTGAAGAATTAAATAAAGCAGCATTTGCAAGTTTCTTTTAATTTTAAATTTTATTTGCATTCTTTGTACATTTTCACTGTGCAAGACCTGTTCCAGTGGTCAAATGGCTTACTCAAGAGATCGTGATAATTTTCAGCATCAAAGAAAAGAATTAGCTCAAATTAGTATGATATCCAAATAGGCATCCATATTATCTAGAAAATTATTAGTTGTTTAATATTGCCTGAAGAAATTAAGCTTTGCTTAAAACAACCACATGGAAGAAAGGAGATCAGTGAAAGTTATCGATTCCTGTATTTTCTCCATCAGATGTATTTTTGGGCGTAATCATTTCAGCAAGGGCCACCCTATGTTTATGGAGAACAGCTGGACCTGCTCTGTGCTTTTTCAGCTCCTATGCACCAAGTGTTACAAATCAGTACATCCTAATTTCCTTGAAAATGAAATCTAGTCATGGAATTGGTTCTCATTTATGCTAGAAGAGTTTCCCACTTACATGCCTGATCTAAGTTTACCTTACATACTTTAATGCCTCCATGTGTCCTGGTAGACTGAGTGCAAACACTTCCACTATTGATACTCAAGATTAGCTCTAGAGCTGTCACCTTCCAAGAAAGAGAGGCCAAACTAATTTGCAGTCATTGCAGTCCTGTTTATCACAGAACAATGTGCTGATGCTCATCCTTCAATGCTGTTAATCATATGTACATGCTTAGTATTTTGTTGCCTCATCAACCTTGTTATAGCAAAATAAGTTTTGGGAGTTTGATTTGGGAGCCATTTCATGGTTCATCTGCCAATAAGAACAGTTATGTACCAAAAAAAAAAAAAAATAGATACAAGGAAAACTAACAACTAATACCAAAGGGGTAAGTAAGGCATCACTTTGTGAATAACAAAACAAACAAACAAAAAAGAACCGAGATACTCAGACTCTGCATTTGTCCCACCTTCTTTTTCTGACCATGGTCCTGCAGCAGCAGTCCAGAGCTAAGCAGCCTTGGTTCCTGTTAGTTAGCTTATTACCTAACATGTTGGTGCAAAAGCAGCAACAAGACAGAAATACTGTTGTACTATCATCGGAAATGGAATGTCTACAAAAGTCCTCCATCCAAACTACCTATGAAACCTTCAGAGTAACTGGGTTTACCGTTCGTGTTTTTTAAAAATCCTTCCTAGCCACAAAAAGACTGTACCCCCTTGTTACACTGGGCATATCCTTTTGCTCCAAGGGTCGTTACATTTCAACAGGAATAAGTGAATAAGCCCCTAAATCATAAGCTGGTTCCCAGTAAGGGAGCTAGTATATTGCTTATAGCCACTTGAATCAATTAAGTAGTTCCAAATCAGCTGTATGTAATTCAGGACTTAATTACGTGGCTTTAAAAAAAATAAAAAATTTAGGGGTTTTCAAAGGAATTCGTAGCATCTCAGCAAACTAGGAATGTGGAAAAATCACAAGTAATGAGAAACCACTATCACACAACACAGATTTGCAGAGCCGCAGGTTTCCCTGCCTGTCATTTAGGATGAGGACCATGGGAAATGCAACAACATATAAAGTAAAAACCAGACCCCCACCCACTGCCCAAGCAGGTAGGTGCATTTTGGAAAAGTCAGACCTAAGTGCAAAAGTACTTTTAAGAAGTACTGTGGGCATAATTAACATTTTCATACATTAACATAAAAGCACCATATGCAGCAATCTGTGCCAGAAGATTTTTGAAGTGGCACGGTGCTTTGTCTCTTGATTTTGGAAGCACCAAAAAGGCAGAAACATAGCCCACCTTGGTGCACTGCCTTCTGTCCAGTCTAGCCAAGCACCTGGGGGAGGGACACACACATACAAAAAAAGACTCCATCAGAAACAATATTAACCAAAAAACCCCAAACAAACACATAACACACACACCAAAACCCACAAGCCTATTTGATCCAATAGATGTTTTCACCTCCTTTCCTCTCTCTTCCAATCTATGCCCCTCCAAACACGTAAACATCTCTTTCAAAAAAATGCAACTCACTTTTTAACTTCATTTGGCAATTTTACATCATCCAGAATGGCAACAGTTTGCTCAAAAGTTGGGGCTGTGTCCCCCCCGCCCCTCCCCAAGGCCAACTTTACAAATGCATGTATTTGGACAGGCATGCTTGCATGTAAATGGAGCTTAAACAAGGACTTCAGATTGCCCTTGAGTATCTGTCATTAGGAGAGTAAGGGAAAACACTGAAAGTGCAAGACTCCGGTTTGGGGTGCCAGACCTGCTACAGATGGAGTCTCTTGCTCACCTTACCTCGTAAGCAAAACAGGTCCTTGAAGCACTTCTGAACAGCTTGCTTCACTTTTGTAAGACTTAAGCCTTCCAAAATAGTGCTTTATTTCTTACTGCTCATTGAGAAGCCATGTTTCCCTTCCCTCCCACCCCCCAGTTAAGAGGTAAATGAAAGCCAACACAACAATACACTACTGCGCGGTTACAAAGAGCCACACAATTAGCTTTTCTAGAGACAGGACCAGAATCAGCCTCACTCTTCTCTGATCGGGTCAAACTTCATTCGCTGAAAGCCTGCCACAGTGCCAGCAGGGGAAGCACATGCTGACAGCAATGTTGGCACCTAGCATAAGTGAACTGAAGAGGTGGTGAAGCCCACAGGACCAGAGGGCGATACTTCTAGAGCTTACTAGTGGTTTTATTTATGATAGCATATATAAAATATTAATTAAAGGGAAGGCTTTAATTAGTAGGACGTAAGACCACTACCAGACACGTACTAAGTTATATGTGAATTGTTGCAAGGGTTGGGTAGCACAGCAGATAAAGAATAAAAAAGGGCCTTGCTTAAAACAAAACCCAAGAAAGAACAGCTCATGTATAAAACAGACAATATTTCTGATTATTCAGAAATATCATTCTGATTATTCAGAAATATCATTCAGCAGTAGCTTACGTTTCCAGGAAAGGTTTTGCTCTTCTTCAAGTCCCGGTAAGATTGCCATTAGCCAAAATTCTCTTAA